TCGATTCGGGAGCTGCCGTGTTGGCTATTTCGTTACGGGTAGTTGAGAGGGCGGGTAGGAGAAACGATCTAATTATGCTTACGGAAAAGGAGCAGTTCGTTTTGGCAGACGAAGAACAGATCAAAACAGTGGGACGAATGACCAATGTCGCTTTCCGATTAGGAAAGGTGCATGCGTTAGGAAATGTCGTGGTATTAGACGTAAACACCTACGATGTCCTTTTCGGCCTTCCCACTCTTGTAGCATTACGAGCAAATCTGGACTTCGAGCGACAGTCGATTATCCTCCGAAATACGGGAGGAAAACCCTATGTTGTACCTATGAGGCTGACTCTTCGTACTACCATCAACACAGTCCCGCGAGTTTCTCCGATGATAGCGGGAACTCTTCGTATGATCACCTGAGAAAACTCCGCAGACAATGAGCCATCATCGAAGGATGCGGACAGCAGTGACGAAAATGATCCGGAAATTCTGAAACTAGCACGACAGTGCATTTATTACCCGCAGCCCAAAACGATCGCAAGAACGATGCATCTAACTAGTCGGAATATACAAAGGACCCAGGCAATGATTTTGGGTGAACCCGTCGTATAGATCTCGAGGATGGTTGATTCTTTGGAACCCCCTCGGACCCTGTACGAAGGAACGACCCCTCTTCTCGCACGATACAATGACAAGAGATCTTTTGCGACATTATGAGCCTACCACGATCCCTGCTGTCATCCACAAAAAGAAGTACGGTTGCTACGACTGGGGGCGGAGGCCAGTTCTTTGGAACCCCCTTAACGTCTCGAGGTAGGATTAGACGAGCTCGGAATTAAGATCGCGACTAAACCCGTACCGTGGCAAGACATCTGCGATGGAATCACCCCGGAAGGACACGTGGCCATCCGGGAGGAAGACGCCCAGATGATGGCCACGTTGTTCTCGTGGCGAACGGACCATTCGTTTATCTCTGCACCACCACCCGAGGCGACGAAACAAGCGTGCACGAAGCAGATCAACGTACAGATCTGGGATCAGTCTTATGAATTGCACGTTCCGCAATACGTACCTGATTAGATTCATCGTTTGATTGCGGACATTCTGACGGAATATCAGGGAGCGATTAGCGTTACGGACACTGACATCGAATTGTCGTTGGTCATACAACACGAAATTCAAACGGGGAATCATTCCCCAATTCACTGCAAGCCCTATCGGTACTCCCTTGTAGAACGGAAAAAGGCTCTCGAACGGATTCGGGAATTCGAAGCAAGCGGTTGGATCGAACCTGCCACCGGACCATGGTCATTCCCAGTAGTATTAGTACCAAAGAAGAATGGATCGATCCGCATATGCATCGATTATCGCAAACTGAATGACATCACGATTAAAAATGTGTATCCCCTCCCCCAGATTGATGATTTGCTGGATGCGGCTGGATGTGCTAATTATTTCAGTAAGTTTGATATTCGGCATGGCTTCCATCACATCCTGGTTAAGGAAGAAGATCGGCCAGAGACGACCTTCGTGTTGTTCGAAGGCACGTGGCAGTGGGTTCGATGTCCAATGGGAATTTGCAACGCGCCTGCCACGTTTCAGCGGGCCATGAACGTGACGTTCCAGAACTTCGTCAACAAGACACGATTAACGCAGAGGATGATTAACTTTTGCGTCATCGTGTACATGAACGACATCTTGGTTTATTCGGAGACCTATCACGGCCATGCGCAACACATTGAGTGGACATTAGGCGCTCTAAGAGACGCTGGATTCAAGATTGCACTCGAGAAGAGCGAATTTTTCCTCTCGGAAATTTCGTTCTTGGGGTACGTAGTGACACGTGGAGGGCTGTGACCAGACTCAAGGAAAGTTGCGGTCGTAAAAGAAGCCCGAGTTCCCACGCCGCTGATGCAGGTTCGAGCCTTCTTAGGCCTGGCATCGTACTACCGCCGTTTTATTAAAGGTTTTGCGGCGATTGCTCCACCTCTCACGAACCTGCTTCGGAAGGACCAGCCTCTGCAGTTGGACTCTTAGTGCGAGCAAGCCTTTGATGCACTCAAGGAGGCCCTGGCAACCGCACCGATTTTGATCCGGTCGGACCCTACCAAGCAATTTATTCTTATAACGGAATGGCAACCCGAAGCGATCTCCGCGATCCTAGCGCAAAAGGGGAACGATGGTCGCGAACACGTCATCGAGTACGCGTCACGAATAGTGCCAGACGAACGGAGGAATGACTCGACACCCCAAGGCGAATGCTATGCAGTAGTCTGGGGAATCCATCACTTCCATCCGTACCTTTACGGATAGAAGTTTCGCCTCGTGACGGATCATGAGCCCCTGCTGGATTTGAAGAGGCACGAGCATGATTGGACATTGGGCGGTGCGCCTACAGGAATACGACTTCGACATCATCCATCGAAAGACAGAGAGACACGGCAACGCAGATGGACTGACACGTCTGCATCGACCCGCTAAAGTACCTAAGGGCGAGGAAATCACTCCGTGGAAGGAGTCAGAACCGGCGAACGGGCCTAAGTACGGACAAGTGGCAGTTCTCCGACGTTGCAAGAAGCAGACCGGTGGCAATGGGTGACGGAGGTAATCCCGTAACCCCTCTTTCTCCCCTCTCCTCCTCATCTCTTCTTTCCTTGCCTGATAAATTTTGTTATTTTTGCGAAGCGATCTCTCGCGTATATTCGGTCTCCATGCGTCATAACGGAGAAGGCTATATTGATTGGGTAGATTGTTGACAGTGTGTCGCACGAGCCCATGGCTCGTGCATCCAATACAGAAATGAAAGTAAGCCGTGGCTGTGCCCCTTGTGTCGGGTTGACAAGATCCCGACCGAGGCTCGTTTTTTGGACGGGCCGTCAGAAGAGTTGGAAAGGACCCAAAAGTTTAAAAGGGCCGAGGTATGGACGAATATCGTTTTGATTGTCACTCAATTAGGTAACCCCCTCCAGGACTTCACCAAGGAAGATCGGAGGAGGGCCAATGAAAGGGCGTGGGATTACTGTTGGAATGAGGGACGATTGGAGAAATGGAAAACAGATGATAGTGGGATCTGGATGGTAGTTCCGCACCCGTTCATGAGGTATGACTGGGTAAAGACAGCGCACGAAGAAACGGCTGCCCATTTTGCCGTACGGATTACGGAATCGGCAATCGATAAAAATGAGTGGTATTGGTCCAATATTCGTGACGATGTGAAATTCATCGTCGCGAACTGCCGAGTCTGTGCTGCTGACAAGGCGTCGATCCAACCGCCAAGATCGATAGTACCAACGATAGTTGAACGGCCTTTCCAAAGGGTAAGCATGGATATTACCGATATCGTGGTACCTCCTGGTCCTAATAATTGTGAGTATTCAGTCATGTTGGTATTTGTCGATCATTTTTCGAAATGGATCGAGGCCTACCCGTGTCGTATGTGACAAGCCGCCGAAATCACGTGGTATGTTAACCGTTTTCTAGGGATGCACCAGGACACAGAAAAGATCCTGACCGATAACGGGGCGGAATTCAGAGGGGAAGTGTTGAGGAACCTGGTCATCCACGGTGTCGCTGTGCTGAATATCGTGCCCCACATGTCGCAATCCAACGGGCTGGTAGAAAACGCCAATAGGGTGATAAAGACAGCGCTACGACGAAACATCACGGCTCGGGATCCGAGGCCCTGGCCCGATATCGTCGATCACATCCTGGCGGTCCACCGAGGGACGCCCCACGAATCAACGGGCTTAAGCCCCTTCCAATTAAGGACCAATAGCGTCACTTGCGTTTCGATACCGAGCCTCCCAGATGAATCAACGCTGAACCGACGGCCCACAAGGGCCACGGTTCGGGACAAGGCTAGGCGGCATTTAGAGCTAATGGAACGGTCCCTCCCCAGACCAGCCCGAAAGTGCCAGAAAATGACCGAGTTGGCCCACGGCCGACAGGTCCGGAGCTACGAGGCCCGGAACGGGAATGCCGGTCCACGGCCCCAGTACAAATTAGGGGACATCGTGTAGGTGAGAAAATATGCTCGTCAGGGTAAGCTAGCGCCACGATTCTTCGGGCGATTCCGCGTGATCGAGCTTGGACCGAACGGAGTGAGCACTGTACGGCTCGCGTCTGAGGTTTCCGGAAGCCGATCGGCGAGACCGATCGTTCGCCACGTGTCTTACCTGCGTCCCCTCCCTTCCTCCCCGTCGCCTGCACCTTCATCCTCTTCCTTCGCCACAGAAGAAGACAACGATTCTCCATCACCTTCTTCCTCCCCTGCATCTTCTGCCTTTTCCCAGCCTCCGTCCCCGCCACCATCGCCATGAGCTTTCTCACGGAACGAGCCCTCGACGACCATCTCTTAATGCCACGAGGTTACATCTTGGCGATTCGACAGGTGTGCCATCCATGACTCAACCTGGATCTTCTACGACTGGCACAATTCTTCTGCACCTCGGGAGTGTATGCAGCGGCTGAGTTCCGATTCGCGGGCAGTCCCCAGGCGGTGGTACTGCCACAAGCGGTGGCCGTCCATCGACGATCAGCTCCGGGGATTAGCCACGTGTCCACGGTCGTCGGCTTTAGCGGCGACATCAGCACGGTCAATGCTCTCTGGCATACAGCCATCCGGACGTCACTGAGGAAGTGGGCGCAACAACTGGCGACGGAGTGGAACCGCTCTCTTACGCACCAGGGGATAATCTTTTCCCCACGGACGGTGTGAGCTCGGAGGGATCCGAGCATTCCAGCAAGAGCCAGCGGTGGTGCTGCCAGAACTCATCCCCTTCCAGCCTCCTCGATGAACCACCCCCAACTCTCCACTTTTGCCCTCCCATCTCTTTTTCCCACCTTCTGGCAATCTAGTCTCCACCCTCGTCTCTCTTTTTGCTTGGAGCCGCTCGCAGTCTCCCTTCTCGATCCTGGACAGTGGAGACTTTGGTGCGAACACTTCGTCGAGCTTTCAGTGTGCCTGGTCGGGGTACGAATCACGTGGACAAGGGACGAAGACCATTGCGAGTGGAGCGAGTACTTGGAGTGTCTGATTATCCAGGCCTGGAGAATGGACATGGAGGGTGTTCTTCTCGGATTCCTGTTCGGATCGATGCGGCCTGGTCATCGCCAACCAATCGCCCTAGAGCTTACGGTCCCACTCGCGCAGCTAGCCGACGATCTCCCCCTGGAGATTGTCTCACAAAGTGACGAGAGCCCGGTCCCGCACGTCCTCACGCGGACCTTGACGCCGTATCTTCAGTGGTCAGTGTGCCTGGAGGAGCCAGGAAGCGACCGCAATCCGCCATCACAACGGGATTATTTGAGCTCGTGGGAGATCATCGATCCCGCCTACTTCCGGGATCGAATGGCCACCGAAGATGAGGCGATAGCGGTTGAAGAAGAAGAAGAGGAGGAGGACGACGAGGAAGAAACTCCCGAAGAGGGGAGTTATAGCGAACACAGCGAAGGGGAGCAAAGTGAGGAAGAGGAAGAAGATGAACAAGACGACGAAGAGGAGGAGCTAGAGTTGGAGGAGTCGGCGTGGGAGATCTCGGCGGAGGAAGGAAAGCAAGCAGGCGCACAGACAGAAGACCCCGAGGCGGCACGCAAGAGAGAAGAGATCGCGGCCGAAAAACGACAGCTGGAGTTCGCCAGCGGAGCCAATCAGCAGGTTGCCGACAATCCGGCCCGAGACCCAGAGCCGCCCAAGCCTGAGGATGGGGACCCAACTGCTAAGACTTCGACCGCACCAACAAGGCGGCGACGAAGCCGATCCCCCTCCCCCTCCACCCTCGACTGTCCACCAGTTCGAGTCCTTACTGATGCGGGGCATCGGGCTTCGTCCCCGGTCGTTATCCCGCCGTCCCCTTGACCATCTCACCCTCCGTCAGGCTACTACCAGCATTGTCTTCCCCCGCAATACCTTCCCCTTCGACACCTTCCGCTTCTTCTATGCCACCCATCTTATTGTCACAATCCATCCCCACCCCTCAACCCGATGCGCCCTTCCCGACTTCTACCTCCATATCCTTCTCCTGAGCGCCGCGTGGCGAGGCCACAATATGATCGAAGTTTACTCCATGATTACGGGGACTATCCCCGCATGTGAAAACTACGACCAATTCCGCGCGGCACTCTTCCACACCTTCACCACCCTGTATCCAGACTATCTCGCTTCCCTCCCCCATAGTGGTAATCGCTTCCCCCGTTTCCACTGGATCGTTCGAAATCAAGAACTTCTGGAAACGGTGGCGAGGTTGGACAGTTTTTTGCCCCCTCTCCCGATTAACCCTCCCCCTCGCAATGCCCCCATGTACCGTCTTCCCTTCCCTCTCCCCACTGGACACTGGTGATCGGTTGATTGGTGCGCGTGCCACTGCAATGACACGTGTGATCCCCTCCTTGGATTGTCAATGGTCCTTCCTGAGGAATTAGTAGTTATAGCTGTGTTGGCCACACCGGATGACGTCCACACTCATTCATACGGCAAGTGGCACGAAAGGAAAAGCTTCACGTATCGATCGATTAGAGAGATCGACACGTGTCAACAAGCAAGCAGGAGCTTGCTAATATTGGAACCCCCTGGGCGTCACATATGTGACGGACCGATTTCTGCATCGCGCGATTTCCTGCACGATAGCAATGAGGGGTCTTAAGCTGGGAATGATGGGCCAAATACAGGAGATCGGGATTGGAAGGAAATTGCATCAGTGTCCTCGCTTCTTCGCCTTTTTGTGTCGCTTCTTTTCGGATGGTTGGGTTCAGGGTCGGGTGAGTCCCGGGACAATCGATTGATTGATTGGCTGTGTCTGCAGCGTGCCGCCGTGCGCGCGATTAATAACTGTTGACGTCGCTTCTTTTGTTTCGATTTTGGATTTTTGGGCGCGGACCTCGCGCGGGAATTTTGTTTCGTTCTTTTTAAATTTCCCTTTTGAATCCTTTCTTGTCGAGCCCCGATGGTTCTTGGAATTTCGGACTTTTCTTTCGCAACTTGTGCTTTTCGCCTTTTCTGTATTAGATAGGAATTTAGGAATTTTTGCAATTAGGATTTTTTTTTGCTGCGCACGTTTTTTGCTTACGCACTTCTTCATGCGGCTGCAACGGAACTATGATTAGTCGGCGCCTTTAATCGTGTGTGTAATTGTAATTTTGGGTGAGAGCCATTGTAACTGTGTCTTTCTCCTTGTGCTTCGTCTTTCCCGCCCTTCTTCTCTTTCTTTTTGCTGTGTCTTGGTAGCCGCGGTCTGCATGATTGGACTGATGAGTGGAGAGCGGCTACGTCCCCCACGCCACGATCTGGCCATGCAGAACGTAGGCGTTTCCTCTTCTGATTTTCCTTCTAAGTCCTTGTAAGTCTGTGTCCTTCGCGCATGCATGCACGATATAAATTCCGGTTGTAAGATTAGTTAGCTCTCTTAACTAGCTCTTGGAAGCTCGGGGTAGCGCGATCAGTGAGGGTCGGCTCACGAGCGAAGTAAGAGGTGAGTTGAAATGGAAGTCGGGCGACCCGACGAGCTGGTGCCAAACGTGTGGGGTTGACGCGGGCCACGACGGATTGTGGGCGCGGGCGAACCTTACGGGTGCGGGAGGACTAAGCGGGGTGACGACTTCGTGGGTTGGTGCGCGACGACGGACTGTCCACATCGGAGAGAGAGAGAGAGAGAAAGAGGGAGCTGAGGTTGATGGACGCGGATTTGTTGTTTCTTTTATCTTTTCTCCCTCTCTGCTGGTGTATACAAATTTTGATTTCGGATCAGGGCGATTTGCCCTTTTTTTGTTTTCGGAATCTTGGCTGGTTTTCTTTCGCCCACACTCGTTTTTGCGATTCCAATCTCTGATGTTGTGTGTTATGCTGCATGAATGGATGTCGTGTCCGTTTACTTTTCCTACACCTGATCTTTGCCTTTGCTTATCATCTGGATGCACTCATGAGTAAGGTAGGAATTTTGCGTAGTCATCAATACTGCTTCCGTTCTCGTTTATCCCTTGATTGATCTGTTGTGATTGTTGCATCTTGCATGCTTGGAAATTACGAGGTGATTAGATGATCGGGTAGCTGTTTGCCCAGAAACCAGCGAACGCCTCGCAGGGATGAGTGTAAGTGTGATCTGATCTGCGCGCTTACACGTATCCACGCGCGTCGATTCACAACCATCCCTGCATAAAAAGACTAACGACTGCGGGGATATTGCTTAATTGGATGTGGCCATCCTGCGTCGGCAACGAAGCAATCATCCCGTGTGAACACGTGTAAGTGCGATTGATCGCAATCGACGTGGGCAAAAGAAAACCAAGCCAAGATTTACACATGCGGTGATTGCAATCGACGAAGGCACACCCTTAGGGATTTTGCGTCTCTACGATGACATAATGACACGCTGCGGGAGCTCAGATTCGTCGTGGGACCCAGAGTACTTCATCCCTTGGATAGAAGAGTGCCTCCGACAGAGGTTCCCCTGCCTAACAGAGAATCGACTGTGTCCTAGGTAGTTTCATTGTGCCACAACCAGCGATCCCCGGTGCTCTTATTTCCCCACTTCGGACCATACCCACTACTTTATTCCCCCCGGCTTTGTCGTTATCTCCACTAACTTCCCTCCCTTCCGTCTTCTTCTCCCGTATCATCAACTCAGGGTCGTCCCGTGGAACGCCATAGCCCCCTATTGGCCCTGCACGCCCTGTGGAAATTGCCGACGACGCGGCAACGAGAGAGCCTCGGGACCGAGAGGGGCCAACTCGAACGCGCGACGACCGGCGCCACATGGCGACAACCGACGCCTGACTCATCAGGATCACACCCACCCCAAATCGACCTTGCAATGAATCGCCGTCACCAAAACAGACGGATCGAGCGACCTTAAATGACCTGTGCATGCCATTTGCCTTATGACCGGAAGCGGTCCGTCCTCTCTACCAAATTGCACCCGTGCCCCCGAAAAACTCTGCCACAGGAAATCTCAGTTCTGACCTGGGACTCCACCCCCACTTTTCCAAAAATCCTTGGCACAACCCTTTTCTCACTTCCAGGCCCACACCCCACTCCGATCAGGAAGTCGCGTTGGGCGTGAGGTTAGGGCGTCACAAGGTTTCTCATCTCCAAATGTTACGATGATGGAGTGCTTCCTGAGAAGTTTCGTCGTGGGGAGTGGGTGGTGGAAGGCGGCACCCGCACATTTGTAGTCAATGCTCAGTTGGACGAACTGACGACGAATTGTCTAAAGGAGAGGTAATTTTTCAGGGTGTAGCCAGGGATTTGCCGATGCGGGTTAGAGAGGACTTGATAAGAGCTTACGAGAATGGCTGGTACAGGCAGAGGATCTTTGACCGAAGTACGAAACGAGGCAGGGTCCATGCGGAGGGGCCCAACGTGGTTTCCTATGTAGCCAGGTCAAAGGAGATTGCGCAATGGACGGTGGCTAAAGCGGGCAATACGGTGAACATCAGGCGAGTGGAGTATGGGATGCGGCTCTTCAAACCTTGGCTCACTCGTACGGAGCTAGACGAACGTAGGCGGTTGGAAGACGAGACAAAATTTTGGGTGATGGCCATCAGGGTCCCACTGAGAGCCATGTTCCACGTGGAAAGTATGGTATAATCTACAATGGGACACGTAATTAACAGTCAACCTCCGGAGCAGGATCGGACGCGACCAAAACTCATGAATCTTAAATTTGATCTTGTGAAACAAGCAGAGGGAAGTTTTGAACCGGAACTGTCGATTAGGCTCGGGCAGGAAGTGTTGCGGATTAAGTTTGTTTGCAAACACACCCCCAGGTGTGAGAGGTGTAAGTGGTGGTTTCACACGGCAGAGGAAGGTTGCCCAAGGATAGACGAAGGCCCAGTAGGTGACTCAAGCGGACAACGACAACGCCCAGGAAACAGCCTATCGGATCGTTCGCAACGGCCAGAAGGAAATCGGCAGATCCGGATGGTGGCCAGGCGAGATTCCGATCCTTCCCAGAGCAGAGATCAAGCCCAACCGTCAGCAACGGCAGTTGGGTCAGGGAGAGGTGTAGTGAGTGGTGACGTGGGTAGATCACGGGAGCTGTCTCAGCCAAGAGGCACTGGAAGTGGCGTAAATAGCGATGGTCAAGCTTCTAGTAATGCGAGAAGAGTAAGTCTCTCTCAGCAACATCGCGGAAGGTTAAGGGCTTAGGTACCAACTCCCAGACGTCCGCCCCCCAATGCTAATCCAGGTCTGCCTACAACACTAGCTCTGCTGCCATCATGTTTCGGGAATGCTTTTCAGCCTCATATGCCAAGGTGGGGTTCGGCTCAGTGGCAGGGCTATGGTTACCACCCGTTCGGAGTCAACTATGTGGAGATGGGGCTTCTCCACCAGAATATGTACGGAGCAGGCCAAATACCGATTTATGGCGCTAATTTTGTCGACGTCTATGATCAATCTGGAGGGTCGTTGCGAAGGGTGGAAGAGGCGATCTAGGCAGTACTCTGGGACTACAGACAGGGGAGCCTAGTAGTCTGACTCCACATGAGCATCAAGCCACTCAAGTGGAGGAGGACCCGGAATCAGCAGAAGACGAGAGTGATGGACAGGATGGGTCGCCAAGGATCTCACATGCTGAGTCAGATATGAGGGCCTCCTTCAGGAACATCCCAGGGAACACAACTATGCTAGAACGGGCGACCACGGAGCAGGAAGAGAGTATGCTGCTCCCGTTGGTTTGCTCCCTGCAAAACAACCAGATCCATGTGGTCGGGCTGCTAGACAGGGAGAACTGTGGGCCTATCAAAACTACCTATGCCAACACTAATCACCGATAGGGTTAGGTATCTGTTTGCAGACAGACTCCAATTTAGAATCTTTCCAGAGTGTTATATGCCCAAGATTCGGGTAGTTTTCGAAGATGATAGGGAAAAAAAAAAAAAAAAAACATTGGGGGGGCCAGGCGACGCAGACGCTCTTTCGTCACTCCGCGCAACAGAGACTTGAGACAACCACCAC